TTTATTTTTAAAACACTGGCCTTGGCCAGTGTGGTTGGGCATTGTCCCATGCACCAAGAGTTCACCAGTTCAATTCCCCATCAGGGCACATGCCCACGTTGCAGGCTCAATCCCCAATACGGGGCATGCAGGAGGCAGCTGATCTGTTTCTTCCTTTCTCAAATCAATAAAAACACGCACACAACACCAGCCCTGACCAGTGTGATTGGTGGTTAGAGCATCAGCCTGTGAACCAAAGTGTCACAGGTTCAGTTCTGATCAAGAGCATCTATCTGGGTTGCAGGTTCCCTACCCTGGCTGGTGGGGGAGGCAACCAATTGATGTGACTCTCTCACATCGAGTTTCTCTCTTCCCCTTCTGCCTTCCCATTCTCTCTAAAATCAATGGGGGAAAAATATCCTCTAGTGAGGATTAACAAAAAACACACAAAACAACAAAGCACCCAACCACTGCTGTATTAGAGTAGAATTGAAAGAAACCTTTAAGGTAATAAAAGCAATCATCCCTCTTTAACTGACATACAAGGCATAGATGTCAGGCTTTGTGAAGAGAATAAAGAGCTTGGGGGGCTGTGGGGCAAGGAGTTCCCAACCTACTTGTTGAGAAAATATGTGCCATTTCCAATATTAAGGAACTTTCCAGATGCCTGCCTGCATGTAGCCAAAATTCTATTCCCACTTTTGACTCTGATGCTGTATCCACGTACTTAAGGCACCACGTGCCCTGAAGTATAGTTACTACTGCAGATCTTATTCTCGCTTCTGCAGGTCTGAGCTCTGAGGGCAGATTCCACATTTATTTCCCCCCCAACTCCCTCACCCCCACTTCTCTGGGGTAGTTAACTTTTTAGTTGGGTATTCTGAGTGAAGTTAATCTACCTTTTCAAGATTTATCTGAACAAACTAGTATTCGAGAATACAAGTATCTGAGAATATTTAGAGTGGCCATAACGCCTGGAAACATGAGTGAATACTGCTAATGGTTTATTGGTATTACATTATAGTACACTAGAGGCCAGGTGCACGAATTCATGTACCAGTGGGTCCCTCAGCCTGGCCTGCGGGATTGGGCCAAAACCGGCTCTCTGACATCCCCCAAGGGGTCCCGGATTGCGAGAGGGCACAGGCCAGGCTGAGGGACCCCACTGGTGCACAACTGAGGCCAGGGAGGGATGCGGGAGGTTGGCCAGCCAGGGAGGGACAGCAGGAGGGCTCCAGGGCATGTTCAGCCCTTTATCGCTAAGTCTGGATCAGCCAGACTCCAGCAGCAAGCTGATCCACCAGTCAGAGCATCTGCCCCCTCATGGTCAATGCGCATCATAGCAAGCAGTTGAGTGGCCTTAGCATATCATTAACATATTACACTTTGGTTGGTTGAACAGCTGACCGGACAACTGGACACTTAGCATATTAGACTTTTATTGTATAGGATGATATGCTCATTGCCAGGACATCTGTTCAGTGTGCCGTCCCTTGTTAATAATGCATAGTTCAGTGCACTGTGCAAAACTTCGGTACCACTTCTACCAATTCCTGCACATGCATCTGCATCTCTGATCATTTGTGTGTCTGAATTCCACCAACTAAAGCTGGGCCTTCAGCAGAGCCCAGAAGTAATCAAGAGGGTTTGAGCTCTTAAAAAATATATATATATTACCCATGGTTTTATATTATTGCCACCCTGTAAGTTATTTAAGCAAACTCTTTTATGTGTCTAATTGACAGTGTCATGATAGACAGTCGTTTAGAATAGAGTAACACTGCAACAGGAGAGAGAGGGTCAAGGTATGACCACCACCCCTTCTAAGTACTAGCTGTTACTAAGCCCTGGCTCTGGTGGTGTCACTGGGAACCAAAATGGAGGATTGAACTCCCAGGTTCGCTTGCCACCAACCCAAGGACGATTAACGTCTAAGATTGTGGGCCTGAGAATGAGACTGCCTTGCTTCTGTCAGATCTGACAGATAAGCATTATTTTCCTTTCTGTAGTGCCTAAGAGTCTAGTTGGCTCCAGAGCCAGGGAGACCATTTCTCAATTCCCATATCTATCCCAGCTGGTCAAGGGTTTCCTATAGCCCTGGCTGGACCTTTCAGTCTGGGGTCTTTATGCTGTTTAGATCCTAATTTCATGAGATGATATTGAAGTACCCTGCGGAAGTTTAAATTTTGCAATTAAAGATCATTTAAAGTAGCCTTAAAACTAAGAAGCTTTCAGACAAATGGAAACAGCTACCCTGACTGACGTTGCTCAGTGGTTAGGGCATTAGCCTGCGCACCAAAGGGTCTCGGGTTCAATTCCTAGTCAAGGCCATGTACCTGGGTTGCAGGTTTGATTCCCTCAACCCCCCTTTGGGATGCGCATAGGAGGCAACTAATCGATGTGTCTCTCACATCGATGTTTCTCTTTCTCTCTTCCTCTCCCTCCCTCCCTTCTACTCTGAAAAGCAATGGAAAAAAATATTCTCAGGTGAGGATTAACAAAACAAAAAAATTTTATTTTTCAAAGAAAGAAACTGTTTGTAAACAAATATGAGTTTGGGGACAGCAACTCCTTGGTAGCCACTCTCAATAACCTAGCATTCATTTTATTAATCTGTCAGCCATTCATTTTCCACTATTCCTGTATTAAAGCTCCTATTAAATAAGCTCCAGTATAAGACTTGCCCTACATGTAGCTTTGAAATATCTCCAAGAGAAGCTTTAACTCCACATTCCCAACTCCAGGCGAACCAACTTCTTAATTTAAGGTAAAAATTATAGCTGGTGTTGAGTTTTAATCTTAATCTGCCTTTGGACAGTTCAGATGCAAAGAACTGCATTAGTTTGGCAGGTTATTCTTGTGTCTAATAAATGTTTAAGGCAACAACTTTTTATTCAGTATTACCATATTTTGGTATGAGCCAGATGCAAACATGCCTCTAAAAGACTATCCCTTATTAGCCTGACCACATGACTTTTAGCAATAACCAGGTTAGGCAAAAACAATGTCTACAATGACATGAATAAATAGAAAAGATTCCCCTGGCAGACAAGAGGCTTCACCATAATTACCTATGTAGTGAACAGGTTAATCACTACTTACCTGTGTTGTGTATTTCCTCAGTAATATACATGCCTTCTCGATAGGTCAGTCCCCCTACAACAGGAGTTCCTGTGGCTGGAGCCAGTGTAGGGTCAAATGCATCAATATCAAAGCTCAGATGGATTGGCCTTTGTCTTCTTGAAAGGAGAAGGATAAGAGAATAGTCATTTGTGCCTGAACATTCATGCTCCCTGCGGATGCAACTTCCTGATTTTGTTGCTGTTAGTCCTGGTATTTTGTTAATGCATCAGATTTCCAGGTTTTCTATTTTAGAAGTTACTAGAGTATTTGCCTATTAGTGTTTATACTCCATTTCATAATCTTTCCATGTTCTGTGTGCCTCAGACTAAATCCATTTTATATTTCTGACTTACCCTGAGCATTAAATTAAAGCCTCTTAAATTAACAATTGTCAGTAGAGAGAACTCTTCACTTTCATATGACCTTGGGCCCTGATAGATTCTAATTTCATTTGTATTACATTTGCTTTTATTCTCTCAGAGTGTAACAGCAGCTGAACTTAACTGACTTTAGATTTGAAATCTTTTTTAAAAATACGTTTTTATTAATTTTAGAGAGAGGAAGGATAGGGGAAGGGAGAGAAAGAGAAACATCAATCAACTGCCCCTTGCGCTCCCCCTACTGGGGATCAAGCCCACAACCTGGGCATGTGTCCTGACTGGGAGTCGAACTGGTGACCTCTTGGCACATGGGACAATGCTCAACCAACTGAGCCACAATGGCCAGGGCTAGATCTGCAATCTTACCATCTCCCAATTCTAACTTTAATTTATCCTAGGTGTCCAATGACTGAAACTAACATATAACACCTATATGCTAAACAACTAAATTTCTTAGTAGATGGCAGTTATAAAGACTCAGCACTGAGAAAATGCTCTTAAAACTAGCATTTGGGTTAGCATTCACCTGCCATCTTTATTCATTACCAAGTTTTGCTTATTTTAAAACTTCTTTCAGTTGGCCCTAGCAGGTGTGGCTTGGTTGGAGCATCATCCTGTACACTGCAAGGTCACAGGTTTGATTCCCGGTCAGGGTACATACCCAGGTTCTGGGTTTGATCACCAGTTGGGGTATGTACAGGAGGCAACTGATCGACGTTTCTCACATCAATGTTTCTGTTTCTCTCTCTTCCTTTCCCTCCTCCCTTCCTCTCTCTAAAATAAATTGAAAGAGCATATCCTCAGATGAGGATTAAAACAAAACAAAAAACTCCATTCAGATGAAGAAATAGTGAGGCTAAGAAGAATGGGATAATTAGAACAATGAATGCTTTTCATCTCAAAAGATAAGCATTTAAATGGAGCTAAGGATAAATCCATGAGAGAGAGAATCTGGGCAATGATTTCAAGGAAACCCCCTCGCAACCCCAGAGGAAGAATATGACCTATGTTTCATATTCTCCCTTTCTAAATTATTTGAAATTTTTAAACGTACATGTTTTGCTTTTATTTGAAAGAAAAGCTACTATCCTCAAGAGAAAAGCTAAAGTATGCTGCCCCCTGGGAGCTGCTGTATTTTATTACCCTGGGAACCTAGAGTAGACATCTGTTGTAGTTACTTACTTGCCAATCAGCAGATCGAATGTCTGTTCCATGACCTTCTGGATACCAAGTCTATCTATGTCTCTCATGGAAAAATACTGGATATCATAATTCTTTAAAATAAAACTGTAATGAGATATAAAGGAAGGAATCGTTAAATAGCAAGTTAAATGCACATTTAGATGGGGTTTTGTCTTTACAGTGGTCTACAACAAGTTAAGGCAAGGAACAACATATCAAATAAGTGGCCAGGATAGGCCCAAAGTTTATAACCCTATATCTCAACTTACTGTTCAGGAGGGTCCACATCTCTTAGACCAATATACACAATACTTGGGGAAGAGATACAAGGTTTGATCCAGGAAAATCCTGGGAGCTGTGGCACCTATGTAGAGAGGAATGAACAGGATTCATCAAGGATTTTTGGTCTCGCCAAGAAAGTCACCATGTGCTTCCCATTATATGCAGTTTGCTTTGTCATCCATCTACAAGATATGCTTAAGCAACACAAGACACACTTGATCTGGGAAAGAAAATTGATACAAGTGGAAATGATTCAGAAAGGCAACTGACGAACACAGTATAGCATTCTCAAGCAGAATAAAAATCTTTTCTCCTAAGGTGGTCTTGGTTTCTCATTAACTTACCTAAATAGTAGGAATACTGCTGATTAGCCCTTTTCATAGTACTGAATTATTTACAGATTGGTTCTTGGAACATAACCCAGTTGTCATCTCAAGTTGCCAACAGCCAAAACATGAATTCTGCCTAATGAATAACCATTGTTATTCCTGGTTTAACTTGGCCCCTCACTGAGGGGAGGGATAAACAGATTCTAGTCTATGCCTAGACTCCAGTGTCTTTTGCACAGCCTAGAAAAATATTACCTAGAGGTAATCATGGTTTTACTTGGATTCTATACCAATGCATCTGATAGTGAGGCCTGGGAGCCTGTAACCAAGAAGTCCTCAAGCTGTGGGTGTATCAATCACTAGAATTACCCAGTACCACCTTCCTTTCTTAGATGATTATGAACCCCCCAAGAGCAGGGACCATCTTTATATCCCTAGTCATGTTTATATTCCTAGCATCTAACAGACTGCCTGGCCCATAATAATGTTTGATGAACAAATGAAGGAGTTATAAGCATTTCTACCACTGGCAACCCATCCTTCACAGAAATCTTACTGAACTGGACCCTCAAAGCCCCTGCAAGCCATTCGACTTTCTTTTCATCTTGGCCTACTGACCTTGTCCTGTAGTTCTCGGAGGAGAAATGAAACCGGCTGTCCATGGAGACATCCAGATGAAGTGGTGAGGGGTGTATTGATGTCAGCGTGGGCATCAACCCAGATCACACAAAGGTCTGGGCAGTGCCGGGCATGACCACTGATGGTACCAATTGCCAAACTGTAAAGAACAAATATAGATGACCCTTGAACAACAGGTTTGAACTACATAGATTTCTTTCAATAAATACATGTAACTGTTTGTTTGTTTTGTTAAACATCCTTACCTCAGGGTCTTTTTTCCATTGATTTTCCAGAGAGTAGAAGAGGGGGAGGGGGGAGACACATGGATTGGTTGCCTTCCGCATGTGCCCCAACCAGGGCCAGAGATCAAGTCTGCAACCGAGGTATGTGCCCTTGACCAGAATCAAACCCAAGACCCTTCAGTCCACAGGTTGACTCTCTAACCACTGAAACAAACAGGCCAGGGCAAATAAATACCGTAACTATTTTCAATCCACGATTGGAAATCTGGGTGCAGAGGGTCAACTATATGCATTGATCGATACCATTTTAGATAAGGGACTTTAGTATCCACTGATATTGGTATTGGCGGGAGGGACTTGGAGCCAATCCTTTGCAGATACCAAGGGACAACTTAAGTTTTTGGTGAGTCAGACGTTGTATTTGGATTTTCAACTGTGCAGGGGGGTTGGTGCCCTTAACCCCTGAGTTGTTCAAGGGTCACCAGTCTCCAGTAATTTTCAAGGCCCTCTGCTTGGCAAACATCACCAATAACAAATATCCTCAGCCAATGCAGCTCATACTTTGTCCTCGGGGCAAAGTCAGGGCCCCAGACTAAAGCAGGATTTGGATGAGACAGAATCTACAGGGCTGAGGTTAAGTGAGTTAGATAGATAGGGAGAAATGGAAGGCTCTAAACGTTTAAAGCTGACCACTGGTTATCCCCTGCAGTGTGACAGACTGCCCCACATCCCTAAAATTTGATCCATTAACCTTGACCCAGAAAGGGACCTTAATTTGTTCAAGAAGGAAATCCAGTTAAAGGATGTGGTCTGTATGTGACAATTCATAAATGCCTCTTTAAGGGAAACCAGGGAGATCTAATCACTTTCAAAGAATTAGTTACATTAACTTTTTAAGGGTAAAAGTCAGCCTTAAGCTTTTAAAAATAAGTGATACTTTCTAAAATGAAAAATCAAAGTTAAGTCTTTAAAGTAACAGAGCAACCCAATTAAAGACCTCTTTTAGAGCACTGAATAAAATACAAGTTTATTTGCCTGTTATATACATTAGTATGACATTCAAATATTGTTTCTGTTTTTGCCTTTCCTTATCCTTGGTATCTTCTTACATTAGCCCACTGTCCTGTCTCAGCTGTAAAAATATAGTGGATGAAATAGTGGTTGGAAAGCTTCCCATCTTCTGTAACCAAAGAATTTGACATAGATGGGAAATGCATCTTAAGCATCTTAGGAACTAACTGCAGTCATCCTTCTTGGTCAGGATAGCATGTGATAGCATTTTAACCTGCATGCCCCACATAGGGCCTTTTTGAGGAATAGCATGGTCTAGTGTTAAAAGCAGTGGATTAAGTCAGAATGCTGTGTTGTTCCCCTCCTCCACCCTCCAGGAAGAGGTGTATGATCTAGGATAAGTCATCTAATTTCTCTAGACTTCACTTTCCTTTTCTAAAAGGCAGGGATACTGCCCTAACCGGTTTGGCTCAGTGGATAGAGCTTCGGCCTGCAGACTGAAGGGTCCCAGGTTCGATTCTGGTGAAGGGCATGTACCTTGGTTGCGGGCACATCCCCAGTGGGGGGTGTGCAGGAGGCAGCTGATGAATGTTTCTCTCATCGATGTTTCTAACTCTCTATCCCTTTCCCTTCCTCTCTGTAAAAAATAAAAATATATTAAAAAATAAAAATAAAAGGCAGGGATACTAATATCTGTTTAAGTCAGAGTTGGTTTAATGATTAAGTCCATACTGTATGTTGTATATAAAAGGAGCAGAGTGACCCTAAAAATTCCTAGTCCTCACCCTGGCCTGTGTTGCTCAGTTGTTAGAGGGTCAGAGCATTGGCCTTGTGCACCAAAAAATATCCTGGGGAATAACAAATGATTAACTGAGAATATATATGCAGTGCTTAATACTCCTAGTACTTTAATACCAACATTTTTTTTTCTTTCTAACAAAAACTTTCATTTCTTAGCTCCCCTGTGAAATCTGACTACTCTAGTCCAGACTGATCTCTGAAATTCTGTAGAATTTCTTTCATTCCATGCGTACTTTTTTCATCTAGGCCCAATAGGTCACAAGTTTCCCACAATCCCTTGAGAACACATCAGAACAGTGTTCAACACAGTTCATGCTGATTCACTAAGAGAGGAAGAGTCTATTGTGTCAGTCACCTAGGGTCAGTTCCTGTGGAAATAGAGAATGCATTCATATGACAAGTGGGGAATTTGGAACAAACCTATGAGTAGAAATGCTTAAAAAAAAAAAGACCCAAAAAGTCCAGCCTATCCTTCCAATCCTCCCAATAGCCAAATGAAAGTTGTAAGACAGTTTCTTAAGAAAGCTTTCTAAGAGATAAGCATGAAACACTGGACTGTGTCTAAAAGCTTTGCTTAGTTTACTTCTGAACTTGTCCCACTATATAAAAAAACTACATGTGCCTCCAGCAGCTCATAATCTTCGACATCAAAATGCTATTATGACCCTAGCTGGTTTTGCTCAGTGGATAGAGCGTCAGCCTGAGGACTTGATTCCGGGTTTGATTCCAGTCAAGGGCAGGTACCTTGGTTGCATGCTTGATCCCCAGCCCTGGTCAGGGCATGCGGCCTGGTCAGGGCATGCGTGGGAGGCAACCAATCAATGGGTCTCTCTCACATTGATCTTTCTCTCTGTGTGTGTCTCCTCCTCTCTTCACTCTCTCTAAAAATAAATGGAAAAAAATATCCTTGGATGAGGATTCACACAATAAATAAATAAATAAATAAATAAATACTTATTAAAAAAAAAATGCTGTTATGCATTGTTAACTTTAAAAGTCAGCCAGATTTCCCCCCAGGAAAACGGGTTTCTTCAGGAACAACAGAATTGTAACCCCGAACATGTAACCGTGGCTGGCCACATGCAAGTTTACTAAAACAAAGGAGAGGAAATTCTTTTACAGAGGGGGAAAGAAGCTGGGAGGGCTGTTATAAAGCGTTCCTCCTGCTGTGCTTCAAGATCAACTGACAGGGCATGACAGCTTTTACTTCTGGCCTATTTCATATGAGTTTCTGCTTATTTTTTTTCCATCATAACCTAAAAATTCTGAAGGGTAGTTTACTCAGGAAACTGAGACGAGCTAATTGATTAGCCCAAAGCACCATGCGATGTAGCCCCACCACCACCACTGGCTCCCAACTTACCTGTGGTCTCCTCCCACTGTGACACAGCTGTAGCCATCTGATACTGCTCTACTAACTACCTCAGCCAGTTCCTGGTTGGCGAGGCCCACCGAGCGAGGATTTGCTATCAGGTTGTTGTACAGATCATCTTTGGGGACTGGAGTGAAACTCAAATCTCCAAAGTCCTTTAGGTGGCAGCCTAGAAACAAGTGGAGGATGAAAAGATTAATTGAAAATGGTTAATAAGATCAGTTGGAAATTCCAACTCCTACTGGCCTGGGCCACAAATAATAACTTGTGACAAAGTACACAACCTCATTTTGTCTCAGTAAAATTCAAAATGTAACATGACTGTCAGGATGACCTCCTAGCAATCCTGTGGGGTAGATTCCATCAGGAACAGTTTTGCAGATGAAGAAGAGGTCTTGGAAAGTGAAGCCCAGAAATGTTAACTGACATTAACAATCATGAAATTTGGAGCAATTAAACCTCTATTCCAGAGTTATAGCATGGAAGTAAAATGCCAACAGGATTTAAAGAAAGTGAATGTCATAAACTAGGTCTCAAGGTCACACAGCTGCTAAGTGCCAGACTCAGGAACAAATCCAGGCCATCTGCTCCCAAAGTTTGTATTCTTGAGTATGCAGTTGTATCCCAAAGAGTCCCTCTTTAATCTATATAAGCCTAAGCAACCCTTATGGCGCAACGACCAGAACGACCAGTTGCTATGATGTGCACTGACCACCAGGGGGCAGACACTCAATGCAGGAGCTGCCCCCTGGTGGTCAGTGTGCTCCCAGAGTGGGAGCACCGCTCAGCCAGAAGCCGGGCTCAGGGCTAGCGAGTGCAGCGACAGTGACAGGAGCCTCTCCTGCCTCTGAGGCAGTGCTAAGGAGCAGCGAGCTGAGCAGTAAGGAGCAGAGAGCAAGCAGGTGGTAAGGAGCGAGGGTTCCTGGACTGTGAGAGGGGAT